ATGCTACATTATACAAGTATCTTTATTTACATCACAAAATATTTTTGGCTTCAGGAATGTTTTCAAAGTATGACATTCATGACAATGGATGAATTCCTACTCATTTAATTTCTCCATTACCAAATAATATAGCAATAACTACTGTATGCTCCAGAACTGTTTGCCTTTGCTACAAAGCTCATTGCACACCTCTGCCAATGCAAACTAGCCACAAGGCTTACTACCGACTAACCAAGGATGCCCAGAAGCAGGAAAACCTGCCATCAGCTTTTCCCTATATTATATATTAAGCCATTTTAAATAATTTCCAACATCCTCCTTGGTTAGAACAAAAGTGGTATGAGTTGTAAGTTGAGATTCAGTGTTAGAAGGCCCTTTCTGTACCGCATCAAGTTCATACATGCCATTTTCAAATTATGGGTGGCCATAGTTCTTACTATTTTTCCTTCTTGCTTCTATCTGACCTGCATTATTTGCTGAACACTGAGTCCCATGGAGATTGGTTAGAAGTACAGTAAAAGGAAGTGTTCCTCCTTATGCTTGCTATAGTTTAAATGCTACACGAGCTACAACTAAATGAGTTATACACTCTTTATTTTAATTATATGTAATTAAATTTGCTATCTGCAGTATTTCCCCAAATGGTTCTCCCTAATTAATTAAATGACTACTGCTTTTTGTGGAAAAAAAATAAAGACACAAAAACAACAGATAAATAAATGAATAAATAAGGTCAAGCTGAGATATAATTCTTGCTTATCATAATAATATAGGAATAACTTCCTTTTGCACTGACATTACTGAACTTACATCTTTCATTAATGAAATTATCAACATAGTCATCAGTGATAAACTCTGCAGCATAAGTATACTCGGGGTACCCTGGCCCTTTATAACACTGGAAGAACTTCCTAAAATAGTTATGATGAAGAATTTTCCCCATTAATTTAATTGTGATCTCTGCAACTAACAAAAAGGGCATTGCTTACTGGAACTCAGTATAATGAGTACACAGTAGAGAGGCAAAATGCTGTCAAGTAACCTATAAGAAGTGTCTTAGTCATCAGAACAAGGCAAGTTTAAGCAAAATGTTGCCTCTGTGGCAGAGCTAGAACAAAGCACATGGCACTTGGTCCTCTGCCCTGGACTGTTTTGAGAGAGAGAATTCAGGTTTCTCACCCCTTTTACCAAGACACTACCTGGGTCCTATGTACCCCCAATAAACATACCAAAACTTTTCTTTGTGGCTAAGAAATAAAGTACGTGCACCATGCTGCTGTCTGCCTGGCAGCATGATCAAGGAGCCACTGAATCTCCCTTCCAAGCAGCTTCATGTGAATTTGGGCACAAGGAGCTATGATCTAGCTTAAACTCAGAGCTTTTCTTACATACTGAACCTAGTGACATTGGGAAAAAATGCAATGTCATATTCATCCACTATGCATTGATAGAAACTGATAGGCATGCATTAGTCTTGACAGCAAGCAGTGAATAACTGAAAGCTGTGTGCAAAAAAGTTGAATTACTGCCATAGATTAAATGGATGCCACACATAGATTGATAGGTACATAGATTTTCTTTCTGAGGAACTAAAACAAAAACAAAAAGGTGGCTTACCCAAGAACCACATGTGGGATGAATTGCTGACAGAAACCAGCTTAAACCAAAAGAAAAAAACCCAAACCCTCCAACAGCACACAACTTTGAAAATTCCCATGTTTATACATGTCAAACCCTGACATCTTTCCCTTGAAAGGTTGGTTCATTTTATAATAAGTCTATGCACAATGTGTCGGCACTTTTAGGAATACTGATTAGACATCTGAGAGTTAAAACAACATCTCTTGCAGTGAGGCTGCAGATATTTTTCAGGTTATTTTTATTTATAATAGGGAAAGGTAGGTCAACGATATTTAAAAAACAAAAACAAAACACAAGTCATATGTGGAAATTAACTGACATTTATTTTTTCTTAAGACAACTTCACACCTTAGCAAAATCAATCAATGAGAAAACTTGATGGTTCTGAAGTGCTGGCTTCTACCCTGAGTACATTGGAATCTGCTAGAACAGGAGACTGCTCCAATGACAGTGCTAGCACATCTTTGAGCCTCTTTTTCTGCCATCTCTTTTTGAAGGGCTCTATGGAAAGCCTGCTACACTGAAGCCTGAAGGCCTCTTCAGAATTGGCCAGAAATTCTTCTTCCTTGCTCATTTGCATGTTTTGATTGATGCCACAGGATTTTTCCCACCGTTAATAGATTTATGTTTGATTTGGTAAAAAGATGCCTTGTCTGACGTTGCCTCTTTTGTCCTCTCACTATAAATTGCTGGAAAGTGAAGAAATGGACGTAAGTGCTAACACCTCCTGGTAGTGCTTCATGTAGTGCAAGGGGCACAAGGCTGCTGAGAGATGAAAAATTAGCATGGTGCTTTTTCTTAGCAATATATCCTCAAAGAAAACATACTATTTCTATATTGATGACCCTGTAACTAAAATAAAATGGAACCATAGGACTAAGTTTAATATAATATGTATAGAGGAGTCATAGGAGACTGTATATGTGTAGGAGATTGTGTATATGGCACATCAACAAGGCCCTGGTCTGTCAGAAAACTGCAAGTCGTGTGTCAATGATCCACAGTGCTTGGTTCCTGGCCTTGAATCCAGATTGGTACTTTGCTGGCATGTGTCATTTTGCATCTCTTGTGAGGGAACGGAGCAGCTAGTGACACAGTGAACATGTCCTGTTCAAGTTCATGTTCATGGCATGATAAGCATGCAATGTGAGAACAGCACTCTCCAAAGCTCTCTGGGAACTTTCTACCTCCTATATGTGCAGAGGCACACTGTGACTCTCATTTGTGGAGTGGAAAGAATATAAAATGTAGTGGTCTGTAAACCATCTGTGGGATGTTTGCTTACAGTCCACAAGGAACCAGTCGGTTACATGATACCATCTCTCTCTCTCTCTTTTTTTTTTTTTCCTTGTCTAACTGGGAAAAATAAAAGAAATAAAAGCAATAAATAGTGTGAGGCATAAAACTGGACAGGCATCCAAAAACATAAACACATGCTGCACTACAATTCTGGGAAACATGCTCATTTTACATTATGCCACATATTTTTATGCTCTGTGAATTTGTCTCATAGTATATATATATATATATTTTTTTATTTATTTTTTTTTCTCCCTAGATAAAGGATTGTTATAGCTGCCTTGAAATTGTCATGGTGTTGTAGTTCCCAAGCATTTAAGACAATAAATATAGGTTTGACAAACACATGAAGAGATCGTGTCAAATAAAAGGGTTTACAACAGCAACACGCATGCAGCTTGCCTGCAGCTATAGGCATGCTCCTCTAGGGAGATCAGGATTTCGGAAGGAACTCTTCTGTTTGGAAAGATCTTTTTGGTGATGTATATCCTGGATGACTTCAGATAAGAATTATGTCTTCTAGGTGTAGCTGACATGAAGAGTTAAAGTTGCACCTAGGCAGAATTCATCAGTAACTTCAGGCTACAGGATGCACAGTTTTAATTTAGTTCATATTTGTAATTGCAACTCTAAATTTTAATACAGGTGTTTACAATAACACTCTTTTGTTAATAAAGATCCCTAAACTATGCAAAAATCAGTACTCCTGTTAATTTGACAATGAAGGATGGAAAAAGAGAGTCAACATTCCTTTCGATTTTCAGCTATTATTTGCTCATCTTGAGATCTAAACTAGCCCCCAAAGCTGCTAGAGAACTTAATTTCTTTCATATAATTGTTTTTAATTAATTAAATGTGTCTGACAACTACAAAAGTTTATATAAAAAGCATTCCTTTGAAATTAAATCCTTATTTTACCTCAGGTTTGAAATAAATTAAAATTAAATCAAGACTTAGATGAATATTTTTTATTGTTTTTAAATAAAAATAAAACTATGTAATCTTTTTAAGTTTTCCAAAACTGAGGAGGCTCATATTTTATACCTTGTCACTCTTTATGAATACTACTTTTAATAAAAAATCTAGAATATAGAGGTGTACTAGTATTTTGGAGCAAGAAGTTGTATTTGAAATGCCTGAAATGCTGTTGGAACACTGTGACACTGCATGGACAAAAATCAGTAGAGTACCTTGTTAATCCAAAAAAGGTATACCATATTATCTAGCTGAACCATTGCCTTTACAGACACACATGGAAAAAGGAATTTGTTTTAAATCCCCAAATGACGTAGTTTATTCTGAGTTGTAGTGCAAACATTTTCAAGTATATGGAAATAAAATTTTAAAGACTGATTCACCCAAACTGAACCCAATGGGGTTATCCATATCTGACATTTCAATGTCTCATTGCATTTTTTGAATTCCCTCGTGATTTAAGAACCAAAACCAAAGCCGTTCATTAAGAACACAGTCAGGAATGCAAGTAATTTCAGAATTTACAATAGTCCATATTTGATTACATCACCTCAAAATCTTCAACATTCATATGATCACTGTGTATAAAATCTGGGGAAAAAAAAATCCTAATAAAAATGTGGGACTTCATCTACCTCATGTCTATCTTAGGACTTTACACGTATACAAGCTATTAAGAAAATAGCATTGATTGTGTGTTTGGGAAGAGTCAAATCGTGGATGATATGTAAGGCATGATATGATCTGGTAGTTTTTTTTTGTTGTTTCATTTTCATTTTAATCTAATCTTCTGACTTGGTGCTTCTTCACTTTGGGTATTGAACCTGCAGTTTCTCAGAAGATTTACAGGTCACTTTCCCAGTGTTTGTTTCTGGTTAAAAGTTCACACCAATGCTGCTAGTTTACTCAGAGTACATTTTTCCAGACACAGCATGAACTATGAATTCCAACACCAAATTTCCTTTTAAATTTACAGTACTAGGGCCCCAAACACACTAATATTTCTCACCTGAGCCCCCACCCACACCCCTGCCCACAGGCCTTGGGACCTATTTAAACTCAACTCCTGGGCATTTACTCTTTTCCTGGGTTGTGCTGGTGCTGTGTTGATATCCAGCCTTTTCCTTTACTTGATACTTGCCGGAAGTTTTTTGGGACTTGCCACAGATGCTGAGATGCCCTAGCTGCACCTGGGGAAAAGCCCTGTGCTTGTGAACCCCTGAAAGCAGGTAGGTTTTTCCCCTGATCTTTCATCACACATGTGGGAATTGCAGGGACTTGGTTGCTACTGTCTACCTACATAAAATGTCTTGTCTCTTGGAAGGTGGGAAAGATGCTCAGAAACTGTGGAATTTCCTTGGAGAGTAAGAACAGGCTTCAGAAGTGGAGCATTGAGGCTGTGGTCTTAAAAAAGAGAAGAAAAAAAAAAAAAGAAATAGATTAAAAAAAAAAAAAAGTAGGTGCCTTAAAGCACTGGAAGTGGTCAAACTTGCTACCCTCCACTTGTCCCTGTGCCAGTGTCTACAGGTACCAAATGCATCAAAAATGTTGTTATTAGTGACTATAAAACTTGAGTCAAAGAAGGAAGAGAGACAGTATTGTCACTTGTAAAGCATAAAGCTTAATGTGTAAGAACTAAGGAGATTTTACAGGTGAATGAACAAATATCTCCTTAAGAAATTTAGTGATGGATGACTTTGCCTTGTGCAAAAATTGAGGGGGGAAAAAAAGAAGGTCAAAGTTTAAATTAGCTGTCTTGCAGAAAACCACACAATTAGAACTGGAAATAAAGCCACTGATAACAAATGTAACGAACCACTGATAGTGGTGGAGTGTCTGTTATGCTTCCTCTTCCCTAGTAAGCACAGAAGGCTCCCCAGAGTCTATGAAACAAGTCCCTTGGTCTCCTTATTGCGAGCAGCCTTCCTCTAGCAGTGTTCCCAGCCCCAGCTGCTTCCTGTCAGGGTGCTTGCAGTGGGAACCCAGTGCCTTTGATCACACCAACCCACGTGTTGGCCTCCTACTGCAGCTCTGGTTCCTAATATTTCCAGTTTCCCTGTGCTGCCCACAAGGGATGTGATTTCTCCCACTTCCTCAGAAGTCTGATATTGTAGTCTTTTAAGTTAACCAAACTTGCAGAAAGCCCCCACCTACAGTCACTTAATTGCCTTAAGCTTTCCCCTAGATATCTGCTTTTCTTTTCTTTCTTGTTATCATTCAGCTCTGTTTAGACGGTAATTAAGCAATCTTTCTTCCAATCCAAGTGGGCGATGAAAAGGTAGTCAATCACAGCTGACGAAGACAGGCTAAGGGATACCCTTGTTATGAGGGATGGGAGGAGGAATGTTTAGACCAAGGAGATCAGTCAGACTTTTTCCCTTCTTTATCAAATTGAAATCATGCATTTCTTAAGAAGTCTAGCACACAGATGGTTTCCTGATTTATTTCTGATATTAATTACCTTGATTAATGGTTGATCAGGCTATGAAGCAGAGCAGAGGTGTTTTCTGAATTGCAGAAACTGGAATAAGGGGCCAAAAAAAAGTGTAGGTAATGTCAACACACTGAGGAAACATGATGAAAGATCACTTAATGACTTGCAGACCTGGAAAATTTGGGGTAGCTTTTTATTTTTAATGATGGCTTGTGACGTTTTACCTCCAAGGCAATAATACTGGATGTGGATATGGACTAATGGTTAGTTCTATTCATACAATTGCATACTTTCACTGAATTTGATTACAACTATGTCACTGTCTCCTCTCAGTCCCTGCTCACTTGTGGGTTGAATCTATTAAAAGTGTTTCCTGAAATATCTTGTTACCCACCTTTTTGTTGGCCATTTCTTTTTTTTTTTTGACCATTTATAAGTGTTGTCTTATTTCTTTTACAGTTAAAGTCCAGGAACCACTGTGGAAGATTCACCTTGTTCTTGCTATCCTTAGTTATGAAAGGGAATAGAGGTGGAAGAGATAGTGATAAATGGGATATTTCTTCTTCTGGTTCATATACTCTAGAGAAAAGAAAAATCTCTGATGCAGAAACTGTGTCTGAAGTAGTAGGGACCAAGGCCGATCCACGGGCTGAACAAAATTTGCTTTCTTCCCTCTCAGATTTGTGGCCAAAGTAAAAAGACAAGTTAACAGATGGATGAGCTTGTGTTGAAATAATTATTATGGCAACTCTTGTTTCAGTGCTCTGACTTTGAAGTAAATGCATTCACTCTGAGCTGTTGCAGAGGTGTCTGTTAGTGTGTGGTCGGATTTTGCTATTCACCTGTTCTTTTCAACTTATGATCTTGACTGCTTTTTCTGTCTAAGCAGACTTGCAGACAAAATTGTTAAACTTCAGATTCATAAGCCGCTCTGATCTTTTCAGGGTATCCAAATTCTCTCTGTTCCCTTGTTCTTCCAAGCTGAATGGGAATGCTCTGAAATTGAGCTGGCAACATATCCCTCCTAAGCTAGATCTCCATAAAGTCTGTTTTGCATCGCAAGGTCTGGATCTCAAGTAGTTTTCTTTTAGTCTCACTGAATGTAAAAGATATGGCTACAGGACATTAGTGAGCATCGTAGAACTAAACTGAAATTAAATTTCTGTTCCGCTGTTTCTTCCTTGTTGAAATCATCTTGTCCTAGTTGGGGCTACAGAAGGAACACATTTTGACTTATTACTACTTCTACAACTAACATACTGTTTGGATAGCAAGCTAAAATGTTTATTGTTGCAAACACTAAAACTTCTAGAAAGTAAAAATATGCCTTCCAGACACTTTCCCATCAGGAAACTCAGCTGTGTTCAAAAAACCTTGGCTTGTGAAATAAAATGTCCACACAATGTAATAACAGTTTAATGTTGCCAATCTACCACTCGGCATGCCTAATAGTTAATATACACTGAAGTGGAAATCTGATACTAAGGTGTCCATGTGAGTCAAGCTTGAACTTGGTTTCTCTGCTGCTCTTTCTACATAAATAATGACATAAAACTCCAAAACAGGCTCATATCTTAAATGGGATTCATGGATTATAACTATTTAATATTAAAAAAAAAAAATAGGCCAAAGGTGAAATTTTCAAATGCAAGAGATATTTTGTGTCAGCCTTTTAAATTTAACTTCATAATATGTCTGTATCTATATGGCTGTTCACAAGCACTTTGGACTAGTAGTGACTGTGGCGTATATGAATATTTGGTACCAGCTAGTGGAGGAAGCCCTATAAGCTTGAACTTGGCCTGAAGAGAACACCTGATTCTCTGTGATGGTGGTACAGGTTGCAGGATGCAGAGGTCATGTTCCCTGATTGTCCTGTGAGGGTGGGGAGTGAAAAATAACTCACTCCCTGTCAGCATTACTGCAAAAATCTGAGAAATACTGCAGATTGCTTCCTCTTTGTCCTACTCTTACTGGGTTTCCCATGGGAAAATGAAAATCTAACCTAAAATCTAGGGAAAGCTTTTAGCATTAACTTCACTGGTTTTCATTATCTGGTAATTGATAATAAACACCTAATAAGTTTTTCACATTCCTTCACAATTTCTTTGCCAAAGCAAAAAGAACAAAAACTTAAAGGGTGGGGGGATAGAACACAGCAAGGGGATTTCTATATAAACAAAGACTGCTTCCATATAGGGATAAGAAGATTAAATTTCTTTAATAGCTGGGGAAAGGCTTGCTTGCTTTAAATAACTATAGAAGCTTCCTTTGTAGTACAGCATTCCAGAGTGAGGCCACATAATCTCTTGTTGCATGTAAATTGCTGGGTGAATTATGTTCTAGTTATGAATTTAGAACTTTACTGTGACTCTGAAGGGAAAAAAGGGAGGAGAAAATCTCCCTCCATGCAGCCATAGCAGAATTATCCAGACCTTAAGCTCTGGGACCTGACATGAGTATTGGTAATGTCAAATTCTTGGATTCTTCTAAAGAAAAGGCAGGAGAAAAAGCAGGAAATATTTCACCTTTGTACATCAGCTCATGTAGATGGAAATATATTGGATTCCAAAAAGCACTACTGCAGAAAGTGTTGCTATGTTTCTTCTGATCCTTCTGAAACAGGGGAGTCCCCAGAGATACATTGCTTGACTGACTTGGCCACTGCATGCTCTTTCCTTTTTCTCTAAGATTCAGTGCACATGTCCTACACACAAAGACTAGGCCTGGAGGGCTGATCTATTACTTAGTAATTAGCAATTCATTAAAATAATGCTATAATAGTTGATATAAAAATTTTGATAGTAAATTTTTTTCCCCTTTTCCTGGATGACACAATCTATCTCACTGGAGGGACAGATTTTTTTTCTTGACTCCTGTTTCTTCAGTTAAGTGTATGTAAACAAGCAATGTGCATGAGCTAATGTCTCTGGTATGATTTAGCCTTCAACACTGTGGAGTTAGCCCATGAAATTATGGGTATTTTAAGCCTCTGAACATGCATTTTCTAAAGTAACTGTGGAAAAGAACTACATTTAAAAGCATGTAACTCAATACTTCAAATTTAGTGGAAAATAACTTGAGAGAAAATACTGGATTCAAGTGAACATCAGAAACACATCTGTATATTTTATACTTGGAAAGTAACCATGCATTGCTGATGGTGCAAAGAAATCTACTGTTTCTTCCTGTTCTGAAGCAGTGTGTTCTCCTAAACCATATGCTGTGTTCATTATACACAACTACAAAGCACTTCTTAGAAAATAACTTAGCAAATTGGACGAATTAGGTATGGGCAAGGGAATGAACAATCTGGATCTGAATAATGTAAAATCTTATTCAAGCTGTTGCATGAGATGAATAAAAAAAAGAGTGTAGCTGACTACATTGTTATTAGTGAGATTTACAGCCTTATTATTTACAGTAATTAATAATCCTTTTCCTCATTTTAATATCTAAATACCTGTTATATTATGGTTAATTTAGCCCATATTACAGTCCATTTGTGCAATAGCTGATAGCATGATTTTCATACCCATTTTTTGGTATACATTACAAGATCCATTTAGAGAGTTGCAAGTGTGTTTATGAGCATTTTTATAAAGACTTATTGTAATTGGCTTTTACTGCGTGTATGTTGTAGGAGGCAATGTGTTGTGATTTCATGTAATTTGAGTGATAATGAGGAGAAAAATGCATATTGGTAATATTGCAACAACTGCACTCTGATTCTCTTCTTCATTCTCCTTGCAGTTGGGGAATATCCTTTTCATTAACTGTTTTAGTGCACTGTTT